CTAGCAAAAATAAAATAGACCTCGTAGTTCAGAGTTTAGCCTAAAATAAAATTTTGACTTTGCCCCGATTCTCAAAGTCAGAATTGTAGAATAAGGTAGCAACAAGGTCAAATGGGAAAATAACAAATTATTTTTTTTTTGTTTAAAGAATTCTAAAACAAACATTGTGATAGTGGAACTTTTATGAATATCGGGATAGGTGGGGTATTTCTATTTAAAAAATTATGTTCGAGATTTTAATTTATAGTGTTTGGTTGTAAGCGTAGATATCCGTGGGGATCTTCAACAATATATATATTTTTTTTTTGGTATTGTAGGCAAAGTGTCGGGATATGTTTATGCACATTTCAACTAATTTTTTTCTCGATTTGGTTAAAAATAAGTCATCTATTTCGGGACTAAAAAATTTATAAGCGATAAATTTATCGTAGTCCGACCTTAAAGGAGTTGTTAAATTTTAAACTCAATATATCTAGATTTACAATTCGTCCCTCTTTCCATTGGACTACCGCTTAGAGTTGTCTTCAACATGTTTTGATCATCATATTATAAAACAAATTTTACAAGAAACTTGATGTTGAATTATGGTGTCTTTTGCACTTAGGCCTGTTTGTTATAAGGGTTTGGGCTGATTTGGGATCATGGGTTGGGAAGTAAACCTTTTGGAACCCATGTTTGGTATATATATATTTACTCCTGGGTTTGAAACCCAGCCCGTTAAGAACCCGAGATTGAAACCCAAGTTCGTGGGTTTGAGAAATTTGGGGGACGGATGTGTTTCAAATTTGGATTCATGGGTTTATATCAAATGACATTTATACCCTCATTTATTCCATATACCTCATATTACCCCCTATCAGATATCTCTCTGAATTAACCTCCATTGCTCAACACAGACAGAAGATTCAATTGGTTAAGGGGCAAAAAAGTTAAATATATACATTTATATTCTCATAATAATAATATAACTTGCGCATACCAAACATGGACAAGGATAGCATTAACCCCCTCAAAACTATCTTTGAATCTCATCTTTGATCAAATTCGTGTTTGGACAATCCAATTCAAACCCCTCCTAAAAAACGTACCAAACAGGCCCTTAAGGGTTGATATAAATATTGTATTAACAGTTGGAAAAAATATTGAAAAACAGGCCAAATTGAACAAAGTAATTAATCTCGATGTGCTTCGTTCGATGAAAGACTGGATTACATGCTAAGGCCAGGGTTGAAATGTTATCACACCATGAACGAGGAGAATGTGGAAGAAAAATATGCATATCACTGTTCGGATTTAATACGCTTTAAACTCACAGACAAACATATAAAATCGAAGAACAAACTAAGAATATAAAGCAATAAGAAATAAGAAAGAACAAGACACAAAGATTTTACATGGTTCGATAATTTGTCTACGTCCACGAAGCTGTAGGGTTTTTACTATTGAGAGAGAGGATTACAGACAGTGGCTATACACATCGATCAAACCCTAATTACTAAAGTAGCGTTCTTTTATCGGCCCAAATCTTCGCTCCACGGATCAAGCCTCAGAAAATTTTTCCATTAAAAAATTACATAACATTATTTCGGGTCGGATCATCATCCGGATCAATGTACAAACTAGACTCCACCAACGGCCGAACAATCACAAAGTAATCTGTAAAGCCACGTAAGCTTGGTTGCTGTCACTGCTAAGGCCCTATACTCAGCTCAGTGGAAGGCGTGGCCACAGTTGATTGTTTCTTGCTGTCCTAGTAGATAGCATTTGAACCCAAATTGACCACAAAACTAGTAGTAGAGCGGCGATCACTTGCATCACCTTCTCAATTAGCATCTATGTAGACTGAAATATGCAGAGGACTAGGGCAATATTGCAGACTCCAAGAAGTGGTACCCTTGATATAATGTAAGATATGTTTCACAACAAAGAAATGCACATAAGTGGGGTTGTGCATAAATTGACAGACCCTATTGGTAGAGAAATCAATGTCTGGGCGACCACAAGTGTTGTAAAGCACCAACAATGCTTCGGTAGTGGGTAGGATCAGAGAGGAGAATTCCATCATATTTGCTCACTTTAGGGGAGGGAGAACAAGGAGTGGAGCAAGGCTTACACTCAGTCATATTAGCTTTGATTTGAAGATTAGTGGCATACTTTTGTTGAGATAAAAATATACTAGAGGCTGATTGATGAACCTCAAGACCTAATGCTCCGTAAAAATGATGAAAAGTAAGAGGAATATATTTTTATCCTTCAAAGAAGGAAAGTAAGAATGATAAACTTTTTTTCTTTGTGAATGCTAGGATGGATAGAAAATAAAAATAATTATTTTTTTTTGTGCTTGCTCAAATTAGGGTGACAATCGAGTCATGTCGGGTCAGATTTGTGTTGAGTCATTGCGGGTTCTTGTCAAACATTAATAAAACCTAACTGAATTAATGTAACTAATTGTGTTATGTCGAGTTGATCTGTTTATTTCCGTATCGTGTTCGTGTTTATATTCGTATTAACTCATATAATCTTTGAATAAAAAATTTATCGCTAATATTCTATTTTTATTTTATTGAATCAATGCTCATATTTTTTTACAAACTAAAAATTAACTTAAATTAAATATAATAATAATAATGAGTAAAAATATTTTTTTTATATAATAATATGTCAGTGCTTAATAAATAATTAATATTTTATATTATAATTCTAGTTAAAATGTTAATTTTGTATTACCATACAAACGAGAAAATATGGAAAGTGTTTATTCTTAAATAAACGAGTTGATAGTGTCAATTGTGGGTTTGACGGGTCGAACTGAATATGAGTGGTTTATATTTCGTATTTGTGTGTCAGGTAATTATCGAGTTCGTGTTAAGTTATAATCAAGTTTGTGTCAAGTTCGAGTCGTGTCATCGTATTGAGTCAAAAATTTTTACCTTTCGCTAAGATAGAAAAAATATTTTTTAATTTTTAATTTTTAATTTTTTTTTAAATATATAAATAAAATTAATGTATACATAATATATGCATCGTCAAAAGATATATAAACAAATAAGATACATTTCAACATAAATAATTAATTTTTTATTCACTTTCTTTTGTATTTTGGAAGGATTGATTTTGGTGAGTTGGAAGGGAAGTTCAGTTATCCACTTTTTTATCCTTCGTATGTTGCTTTCTTACAAAATATAATATTTTATCTATCTCTCCAACTTTTTTATCATTTCAATTTTTCATCCTCTTATTTTTCTATCGTAGCAAACATAGCATAAGAAATAATGAAGAGCATCAAGGCCCTTCATTTCAAATTCAGTACTAAGCTGTTGTACAAGTTTAGATGCGTAAGCTAGATCATTCATAGAGATGATTATGTCATCAACATAAAGCAAAAGGACAGTGAAGGACTCTCCAATAGATTGAATGAGCAATGAGGGATCTGCAGAAAAGGGATGAAAATCAAGAATATCAAGATAAGAAGTGAAACGATGGAGCAAAGCACGAGATGCTTGTTTTAAACCATAAATCAACTTGTGAAGATAACAAATAAAATCAGGATGAGCAGGATCAATGAAGCCCTTAGACTGCTGTATATATACTTCCTTTGCAAGTTGGCCATGCAAGAAGGTATTTTTTACGTCAAGTTGCCTAAGAGACGACCGAAAGTGAGGAGCTAATGAGAGAAGAACATTAACGGTAAATGATTTATCATTTACCGAAAGAGTAAAGAAAGAGATCTAAATCCCAGTAAAACTCCCATTGGCACTCAAAATCCAATTAAGATAATTATTATGATCCAACTTCTTAACTTGCACATTCGTCCCCCATTCTTTTTCTTTTATTCCTTTTGGACTCGGAGGAGAAGATTGGGTGGGTGACAGACCACGCACTTATCAAGAAAAATCACAGTTTTTCAATCCTCCTAAAACTGGGTTTTATTTTTAATTCATTTTTATAATGTCCAAACACTTTTCTTTTGGATCTTAAAGGAGAAATCCGTTTTAAAAGATTCATTTACTCTTATTTAAATAAAAAATAAAATATTTAATATTTATATCAAATGCACAAATGTGAATAAGTTATTTGAACCAAAGACATGAAGTAACATTTTGTGATTGTGTGCTAGAAACCAAGAGAAGCAAATAATAGTCTGTCAATATCAGACCTATTGGTTCATGTTCAAAATATACAAGTCACTTGAAAATCCACTAATTTATATACTAAATTTTGACTGGAATTCTTTTCAATCTATCTTGGAATTCGATACAACAATTTTTCGGATCAAAGAAGTATCTATGTATTTTCCTGAATTAACTAGTTTGGATATAACTAAAGGGCGGCAAATATTGCAAATTATTATGGACATTTGAGATTAGCGGTTTTAAGTTTAGTTCAAATGGTTGTAAGTTATAGTCATATTACCTGCTAGATTTGTGTAATAAATGGATTAACAAGAATCCGACTAAGTAGAACACAAACCGAGCTAATGTTTTTTTTTTCTTAATAGGTATATTCAGTTCTTGCATGACTGAAATATGGTTATAACTTCATAGCCACAACTGTTCCAATCAAGTTTAATTTTTAGTAAACTGCCACGTTGGGGTATAATTTGCAACAAAAATCATGATTCGTTCATTCGGGAATTAAGGTCCAATGCCAGTTTAAATTTTTGTTGGGGGTCACTCTAACATGAAAGTAATTTAAAGGGACCAGAATGTAATAATTAACAGAGACATGTGATGCTAAGGAAATTTCTGTTGGGAAGTAACTAACTGACACATTCCTCCCTCTTTCTTTTTCTGAATCTTTTCGGGACTCTTCCGAAAAGAAAATTCCACCAGGTTCTCAAAGCTTATCAAAGGCTAAGGTGATTGGTTATTTTCAAAATTACCGTTCTAAACTGATTCTAATTGCCAAACTTGAAGTCCAAGTTAAAAAGAAATAAAGGAAACCCAATTCCAGAAGGATTAAGAAACTATGACATTTGCATCGTATAAATAAAGCCTTCCATGGTCACCCAACAGACCACCACATCCAAGTACCTCTTCTCTCTCCTCGTCTTCTTCAAAACCATTTTGTCTCCTTACAACTTCTTCTTGTCGTTGATCATTGTTCATCAAATCCGACTGTGTTCTTCGTCCAAGAACATTGGCAACCATGGCTTCTACATCCCGTTTTCTACTTCTTTTTGTCATAATATCATCGCTGTTTTTTTCTCCCCTTGCAATCTCTCTTCCTCTTCCACACAATCATGTGCCAGATTTGTGTTCCCAAACAAGGAGGATGATGATCATCACTTTGCTTCATGCGTTGATCTTCCTGTTTTGAACTCTTTTTTGTATTGGACATACTACCCATCTTCAAGTACTGTTCAAATATGTTATCGACACACCGAATCATCTTCAGGAACATGGGTTGCATGGGGAATCAATCCTACATCAAAAGGAATGGTAGGCACACAAGCACTGATTGCATACCAAGAATTGGACGGAACACTGAAGGCTTACACATCTCCTATCAATAGCTATGGCACTCAATTAGCAGAGGGAGAATTGAGTCTCAAAGTGTCCGATCTGTCGGCCAGTTTTATGGACAATGAGATTGCTATATTTGCTACTTTGGAGCTTCCAACAAACACTACCATGATAAACTATCTTTGGCAAGACGGTCCTGTCTCATCAGGTAATGCTTTGGGAATGCATGGTCTCTCTGGACAACATGTTCAATCAATGGCAACTTTGGACTTGTCATCTGGAACATCAGTGCCAACAAAGGGAGGAAAATCAAAATCCAAATTGCGCAACATTCATGGAGCGTTGAATGTAATTAGCTGGGGTACGATGATGCCTATTGGATTTATGCTAGCTAGGTACTTGAAGGTTTTCCGACCCTCAGACCCTTTGTGGTTCTACCTTCATGTTTCATGCCAGTGCTTGGCCTTCTTGATCGGTGTGGTGGGATGGGCAACTGGTCTTGCACTTCGTCTCATGTCCGCCGGTGTCCATCATACTGACCATATTGCCATTGGAACCACCGTCTTCTCTCTTGGGATACTTCAGGTCTTGGCTCTCCGTCTCCGACCCCATAAGGACCATAAGTACAGATGTTATTGGAACATCTACCATCATTATGTGGGATACATAGTCCTTGCCTTGGGTATTGCCAATGTGTTCATCGGATACAAGATATTGAAGCCTGGGAAGGGGTGGGAGATTGCATATTATGTCATCTTCGGGGCCTTGTTATTCACTCTTGTTATGCTAGAAGCTTGCAAAAGGTTGAAGAAATCTGCCAACAACGAAGAACGCAACTGTAGAGGAAGCGAAGTCGTCGGAAACATTGCTTGTCCACAGCAGAGTGTGTAGTTAGCTTATTGGCGTAGGCAGTGACTCCATTAGTTTCATAAATCATTCAAGGCCTACGCAGTTGAGTCTAGTTTTTGCTAAGTTTGTTAGAACTTTGAGCATTTATGTTTTAGATGTAATTGATTATAGAGGAAAATTTTAGCCACATTATTTCTAGTTTAACATATCATTAAGAACATTTTTTTTATTTTTTAAATTTTTGACGGTGTTAACTAAAATGTAATTTTACTAAATTGCTCAGGATATATTTTAAAAAAAACTTCATTCACACATCCTGTAGATATGCATATTTTGAGTGAAATCAATTCTGTTTTCTAAATATTTTTACATATTAAAATTTGGATCGATGAAAATTCAATTTGGGCTAATTAAAATTTATTTTTTTAATATTAAAATTTGAATCGATTAAAAATTATACTTTTTTAAGTATTGTGACTCAAATTTTAATCAATTTAAATCGAATTTTATTTGATACGAATTTTAATAAATAAAAAATATAAATTTTAATAGACTTGAAGCGAATTTTAATTGGTGATAAGAACTCAGGTAGAGCTCTAAACGACTCGAATTATAATACTAAAAAAAAAATTAATAGGCTCAATTTTTAATACCTAAAAAAAAATTTAATCAATTCGAATCGAATTTTAATTGACTTAAATTTTAATATATAAAAAAATAAATTTTCATCAACTCAAATTTTAATATGTAGAAAAATGAATTTTAATCGACTTGAATTTAGTCGAATTTTACGTAGAAATATTGTTTAGGTTTATGTAGGAGTAATTTTTTTTTTTTTTAGTTAGAAATGATGGTTTAAAAACAGAAGGTGTTAGTAATGTTTAAATATAAATTAGAAGGAGTGTCAATGATATTTTAGATAATAAAGTAGATGTCCTTAAAGATGTGATAAACTAAAAAAGGTGTAACTAAAATTTTTCCATAATTATAAAATGTTTTGTTTTCACTTTCAATTTAAATGTGAAATTATTTACAATCGTTTAGCAAAAATAAAATAGACCTTGTAGTTAAGAGTCCACCCTAAAATAAATTTTTGACTTTGACCCGATTCTCAAAGTCAGAATTGTAGAATATGGTAGCAACAAGGGCAAATGGGAAACTAACAAATCATTTTTTTTTCTTTAAAGAATTCTAAAACAAACATTGTGATAGTGGAACTTTTATGAATGTCGGGACAGGTGGGGTATTTCTATTTAAAAAATTATGTTCGAGATTTTTATTTATAGTGCTTGCTTGTAAGCGTAGATATCCGTGGGAATCTTCAACAAAATTTTTTTATTTTTTGGTATTGTAGGCAAAGCGTCAGGATATGTTTATGCACACTTCAACTAATTATTTTATCGATTCGGTCAAAAACAGGTCATCTATTTCGGGACTAAAGGAATTATTAAATTTCAAACTCAATATGTCCAGATTAACAATTCGTCCGTCCCTCTTTCCATTGGACTACTGCTTAGAGTTGTCTTCAACATGTTTTGATCATTATATTATAAAACAAATTTTACAAAAAACTTGATGTTGAATTATGGTGTCTTTTGCACTTAAGGTTTGATATAAATATTGTATTAACAGTTGGGAAAAATATTGAAAAGCAGACCAAATTGTAGTAAGAGTTGGGGTACCAAATCTACTTGATCACATATTAGGAGTTTTATGCACCAAAAGGTAAAAAAAAAATCGTGGGTTTGAAACGTTTGCCCCTGACATAGTCTGGCTGATTGCATATATGTGGCAAAGCATATTTGAGTTGAAACAGGTTTCGAATTAATCATCCACATTCATCCCTTTCAACTAGTGGTGTAACTCGGATGAGTTGAACAGGTTTAGAATCAACCCGGGATCAACCCCCAGCTATTAACTCGTCCCCCTAGCAAAACTCGAGCAAGACCTTCAACCCAAGTACTGCTTGTGCTCAGATTTTTGGACTGGGATCAAACTCTAATTCGGGTTAAATTTTTAGGTTAAAATTCAAGTTCAATTCGCGTTCTATTCTAACATTATCACAAATCGAGCTCAAATTTGAGTTCACGAATTAGTGAGTTCGGCTTGGAAAGTAAAACTTGAGATCCAACATGAGCATTCTCCAAATTTTAATTTTGATTGGTCTTTTTGGCTCAAATTCCATTCAAATATTAGAAATCTGTATCTGAGTACTTACTTAGTGTTATTGGAATAAGGAAAGAAGATCACTAATTTTGATGATGAACAAATTGACTATACACAATCAAATAAGTCGAGTGTATAATATAAAGTAATTAATGAAACAATTAATAATAAGAGATAAAGATTGAGTGGTTGGGTCTAGGTGCCCTAATCATTGAGGGTGACAACGGTGGCCGAAAAACTCTATTAATAAGACAGTACAAAGTAATAGGGGATAGAGAGAGAGAGAGAGAGAGAGAGTACACTCGAGGTAAGGTGTGTGTGCTTTTCCACATGTGTAGGGGTTTTATAATTTATAGGTGCATAGGCCTAGTTGAAATAGTGACATGAGGGTCAAGAAATTAATTTATCAGGGAAAATAACTACAATTAGGTATGAGCACTATCATGAAGTAATGTTTATCCAAATGATTGTTCTTTCATGTACGTTAACTTTTCATGGATTCTTGAGTTTTGAACTGCACTGAAATCATAAGCTAAGCTTGGTTTGTCTTTTGATGTTTTAGACTCAATCTACGAGCCCAAGCCTAGTTTGAATTTGGGCTCATCAAATTTAATAATGAATAATTTGGAAGCCGGTACAAAAGTTTAAACTTATTTGAGTTAAACTACGATAAGGAGACTTATTTGACCTTAAGTGCATTTTTTTAAAAAAAAGACTAAAAGGTTATTTACTACTCTATTACTCTCTTTCCATTACTCTTTCACTCTCTCTTTCTTATTTTCTCTCTCTCTTTTTCTCGTATTGATAATGTTTTTAAATATGCAAAGATTTGATTTAATTTTTTCATCTTTCTCCCCTATTTTCTCTCTCTCTCTCTCTCTCTCACTCCCTCTCTCCTTATTCCCTTATTTTTTCCATTTTTCTCTCTCCTTATATCAACATTATACAACACAATTACATTAATCAGTTATACCAATTAGTTACAAATATCTTATAATACACTAAACAGTTATTTATGTGTTCTCATAAACCAAATAGTTACACTAAACAATTATACAAAAATTATAGCACTAACCTAATTTGTTATTTACATAAATCAAAGAGTTATACTATTTAGTATCACGACATGATTACATCAATTATATACACCAAATTGAATTTTTGTACTAAATTTGATATATATAATTAGTGTGACGATGTCGTGATACTAAATAATATAACTCTTTGATTTATGTAAATAACAAAATAACAAATTAGGTTAGTGCTATAATTTTCGTTTAATTGTTTAATGTAATTGTTTGGTTTATTAGAATGCATGAGTAACTGTTTGATGTATTATAAGACAATTGTAACTGATTGATGTAATTGATTAGTGTATTGTGTTGTTGTGATGTTGATATAAATAGAGAGAGAAAAATAGGGAGAGAGAGAGATGGTTAGAGAAAATAGGGAGGAGAGAGATGAAAAAATAAATCAAATATTTACATATTTGAAAAGAAAATAAATTATCAATGATAGATATAGAGAGAAAATAGGAGAGAGATAGTGAGAGGGTCTAATAAAATATTTATATATTTGATTAGATATATAACTGTTTATCAATAATGCATAATTTAAGGGAGAGCATTTAGACAAAACAGTTTGATTTTATTTGAATTTTGTACTTAAACACAATATATTTTATTAAAATTAAACTTAATAGAGTAAATAAATTATACATACACTTTTTCTCAGTTAAGTCTAAAAAATTATACTCACAGTAAAAAAAACCCTTTAATAAAACGAAATTATAATCAATCCTATGAAAGTTTTGCTTCGAATTCTCTCAGATAATCTTTTAAGTAGCGATCTAAACTTCGACCCTAAAATTTTAAATTTTCATTGACCGGTGGCAAACCTCCCTTAGTTCTACATTTTCTTTTCCCTCAAACAGGTGAACCATAACTGTAGCTTAAGGTGGTGCCTTGCCCTGTAGGACCTATACCTTTCTTTTCCTCTTCTTATTATTCCCATCCTCTCCTTTTTTTTCATATTTGTTTATCTTTCCTTCTTGTACTTCCCCCCTTTTTCTTTTCTCTTGTTCTTCTCACATCCTCTAATTTTTTTTTTTACTTCTTTTCTCTAATTTTGTTTTTTCACTTCCTTTTCTTTTCTCCCTATCTTTTTTCCTTTCTTGCTTTGTGTGATTGCTTTTTGTCTTCCTTTACTTTTCTCCTATTCTTACTTTTATTTGTTTCCTCCTCCTTTGTTGCTTTCACTACAAATACAGGGAATTATACTATATTTTCTAAATTGAAGAAATTATACTTTGACCTTAAACTATAATCTCAATCTCATTGTGCCCCCCTCAAGTATTAAGTTTCTCACATTGTTCTCTCCACTATTTAAATTGTTTTCACATAATACTAAAACCAATGTTCAACATATTTTGAAATATTTGCACATGTCACAAATACACATTTATAATATCTACAATTAAGGTCATATGAATTATTTTGAACCTAGTGTGAAAAACATAACAGTTGAGGGGTTACGTAAAACACATAACTATAGATAGTGATGTGGTGTTATGGGACAAAGGAGATAGTTGGGAGAAAAGTGAGACAATATCACAATTGAGGGGGTCCAACTAAAATTTTTCCTTCCAATTTATGATGGAGCTGATTTTAAATGCTTAGCACACCTACCCCCACTACAAAACCCACTGCCAGCTTGTTCTAGACTTAAATTTTCTGAGCTTTTCTCTGTGAAGGACAGTAGGTTACTTGGTTAGCTGTCTTCTTTTTTAACCTTCAATTCTCTATAAAAATCAATAAAAGGTGACACGAAAATCAATCATGATTCATGGGATTCACCCCACATTTTCAAAAGATACCCCTCACACTTGCTACAACTACCATTAACAAACAAATCAGAGCTTGCCCTTTTGGTCTTGGCCTTTTGTGTGACAGTGGGCCCTCCATTTTTTAGGTTGTGCCTGTACTCAACTGCCACTTGTTCAAACACTTCAACATCAAACATGTTCAGCTTCAATTTTGGGTCCATGTGGTCTCTCACATATGCAAAAGCCAGTTGGTCTCTTGGGTTAAATGCCTCCATTTCATTGAATAATAGACAAGAGAAAAGATTACTTGCTACCCCATGTTTTCTTATGATCAGAGCACTGTCTGGTACATCTGCAAAACCAAATATATGCACCATAAACAAATTTTCATGAAAGATTTTAAGAATTGAAGAAGAATTCTTGCAGTTAACAATCGCTCTTTTCATGGTACAGGTAAAAGAAAGAAACTTACTAACTTTTAATCATTGACCACAATAGAGGGAAGATGTCAAGGGTGGGAACTAGACCAACATTAGAGAGATAAAAACAGTACCTAGTGCACAAAACTTTTGTCTATAGCGGGTTTAGGAGAAGTAAATGTTAGGCAATCATATCTAAATTTGGAGAAGATGATTCAGTAACTTGAAGATGAGACGTTATGTCGGGCAATACACCCAAATTTCCTTAACACCCTACTTGAACACGCTTTCTGCTATCTAAGTTGGGATGAAGAACAAGAACAAGCTCAGGAGAGAAATAAAGCAGAAAGATAAGACCCAGACAAAGTGCGAATAAGGTTTACTTATTTGTTCTGGGTAAGTAAAATGCAAATAAGTTTATTTCCATGATAATTGTGTTTACAACAGTTAAACATCTCTCTCCTACAACACAAACCTTGGATGCAAGTGATTACATGTCAATCACGCGCACCATTTAAACCTATATTATTCATGGTCAGGGAAATTCGAATCTGGGACGGGTTTAGCAGAGCACGAAGCATGATTTGCCAAAGAAACTTCAATAATACTCCAGGAGGGTTTATGCGACTTGAAAAGTAAGCTGACATAAATAAAATTGGGCCCGCAATTTTCAAAAGTAGCTGCTAGGTAGTCAAATTTTCTATCATATTCCCCAACTATATGATTATTGCAATCATCATATGAGGTAGCTTTTACCTCAAGACATTTCCAAGATGGGATTCACTGAAGTTTGTACTTAGAACTATTCCTATGTAACTTTAATACTATTCATACAACTCTACCCTACAAAAAAACACATAACAGCTCATCACACTTATAAAAGTTGTTGCATGAAGAATTTTGTGGGGACCAAGTTTACTATTTTCTTTTCCTTTTGACAGATGTATTGACAAGTGATCCCATAAAACCATAAAAAAAAAAAAAAAAAAAAGCAGATATATGGCCAGTGCAAAGAAATCATGAAAATAGTGTCATTTCAACTTCCTTGTTTCATTTTCAGCAATGAGTAAACAAGACTTCTGTAATCATTAACCTTTTTTAAAATATAGTAAGGATGTCTACCACTTACCTCTCCCAACTCTCTTAGGCCCTGTTATTGGTGGAAGTCTTATATATTGAGTACGACACTTTTGCTAGAGTATTGATCAGGGAATAAAGGAACATCAAAGGCATTAGCAATGTTAGCAAATGTGTATACCTGAAGGATAAGGAAGCTTATTTGGACTCCATGGTTGCAACCCACTCTCACAATAAGTCTCCATTTGAGTCTTCAATGCATCAACATCCCACCATTTCTTCCACCTTGCAGTGGCCATAGCTTCTTCCATAGTATGAACAAAATATGGGTGTCTTGATATAGCCATGTCCACATTCTCCACTATTACAAGTGAATGAATCAACAATAATGGATCTACAACTAATTGCAACTTTGCATCTACCCAAATGCTATATTTTGAGTTTGGAAAAAGTCTATGAACTAAGTATTTTGGTATAACCCCATTCATTGCTGGATTGTCATATAAATTCTCACTTGAAACCTTTACAATTCTCCATGCCCCAATCTTGTATTCTTTTGTTTTTCTTGAGATTAAATTGTGGTAGTCTAGTCCTTTGAGTGTAACATCATCTATGAACATGAAGAAACAAACATAATCTGGTGTTTTGGATCCAAGGCCTTTTGGCTGCCGGATCTTGTCATGATCACCGAATATAGCTGAGACCACCACTACTCCATCGCATTTTTCCATAGCAATTCGATCTGAAAATCACAAAAATCAACAAAAATAAATAACCTATAAATCGAGATTTACATGTTATATTGTATAAGGAACTCAAAATATTTCCCTGAAAACATAACTGCAATGATGTGGTCTTGGATCCAAAGGCCTCTTGGCTGTCGTATTACATCACAGTCAAAAAAAAAAAAAAAAAAGCCCACTCCATCACTCACTCACTCTATATCCTAATAAAACAATTTGATATGAAAATCGCAAAAATTATCAAAATGACGAAATTTATAAATCGAGATTAGAGATTGTATTCCACTAAAAAACACAAAAATGTTTTCTACAAGACATAATTTTTTCAAACTTAAAATGCCTATAAAATTTGAAACAAAAATTTTCCACCTCCATAAATGAGCAGAGCTTGTTCCCAATAACTCAACTCAGTCACAATATGATTATTTTGGGAATTGTAATACAACTGTATTGCTTTTGTTTCCCCATTTTAGCACACAACTCAAAAGCAAGCCAACAAACAAAAAGCAGAAAAGACAAAATATTGTGAACTTCGATGTATAACTGACCAGAATTACTGATTGGAAATTTTTTGAAAAATCCACAAGGAACTTCAATTCCAACGTGTCGATGATCAGAATAAGAGATCCTCTTCTGGGTACTGAAATTTCCACCAAAACTTTTAGTATTCCCCTGCATATACCTCAGAACCGGCCAAACATTTTTCGATGAATTCCCACAAAATTCTTGGATTTCCTTCAAGACCATCCAATAATCTGACAAACAAAGAAAAACCCATTATTCAGAAAATTATAATAAGGTGTATTGAATCAAGATCTCAATCGGAATGGGCTAAAAACCTGAGAAGAAAACAGGGGAAGAGCAGGAAGAGCGAAGAGTGGGAATGGCGTATTTGTGTTCTCCATAGGAGGGAGGGTAAGAAAAGAGTGGGGATTGGATTGGATCGAAAGGGGAGGATCGGAATAAGCATTTGGTGGAGGAGAGAGAGGAATAGAGAGCGAGAAACAGAGAGCTGAAGAGGTAGAGGAGAGAGAAACAGAGGAGCTTTGATCGGAAGAGGAGGGGTGTGGACGATGCCTTCCCCATTACCCATAATAGTCAACCACCCCACGAATTTCCTACCCTTTTATTTATTCCCCTCATTTTCTCTGTTTTTAATCTTTTATTTATATTTTTAAGATTTGCAAATGTATTAAAATGCAAAATTGATGAGAGAGAGGGACAGAGAGAAAGGACAATTTTTAACCACCACTGACAATACTCTAGTCTATTGTTCACTGCCATATGCCTGTCACGCTGTCACTATTAAGCAGGCCCACGTTTGCCATATAAGAAGCATTATTTGTTTATTATGTTTTGTGTTATGCATGGTAAAAGTCTTTCAAGTCATATCCATTAAGTTAGGGAATTGACTAGGGTATTGTCAAAAATTTTGGTATTATACTCTTGAAATTTATTATTTTAAAATATATTTTTATAATTTTTGTAAGTCATTTTATAAATAATAAATATATTATTTTTATGGATATTTTTATCATTATTTTAAGTATGTTTACCATATTTGTGATAACTGTTTTTATTATTTTTCTTATCATTTTTGTGAGTAATTTACTATATTTATAGATATTTTTATCACTATTATAATAATTATTTTTATTATTTTATTAGGTATCACAACAATAATAAAAATATCTACAAATATGATAAATTTTTGTATAATTCCAAAATTTTGAATTTTGGTATCGTAATCAAATCCTTTTACTTTATAGTTGAATTTATATTGTGTTAGACTTGTGTAGTGTTATAAATTGCATATATGTTATGTATAATAAAATTTGTGACTTTTCATTATTGAAACGTTCTTTCGAGTCAATGTATTTGTGAACTGAACTCTTTAAACTTAAATTCGTACTTGATAACTGCATGTCGATTTTGCATTAAGGCGGCAAGGGCGTTAAGAATTGTCAACCTTTTATTTATTTTTTTGATCTAAGAGTTTTTTTTTATTTAATAGATGTTCGATTTAACTTACACATATGACATTGCAAAACAACTATATTAGACGTCTCACACTTACATTAGTCTTTTTGGCTTATTGTTTTCTTATATTACGAATCCTATATTAGTTTTAAGAAAGGGTAAATTGCACCGTTAATTTTTGATGTTTATCATTTGTTACACTTTTGTCCTTAAAATTTTAAGTTAATTTCGTCTTTCATGTTAACACATTGTCTGATTTTGATCCTTACCACTAACTACCATCCCAAAAAGTGGCGAAAAAGAATATGTGAGCGACATGTAAGGAAGTCTCAAGGGCTAGGGAGTCATTTAACATGTCTTAATGTTTGTATTATAGTGTGTATATATATCTATATAATAAAATATAATACAATTCAAATCGCAAAAGATAAAAAAAAATTACTTTTGTTTTTCGCGGTAATCTAACTGTTAATAGTATTTGAAACTGCTCCACCACTACCACCAGAACCGTCACCCCACCACCATCACCGCCCCATTTTCACCACCACTATCATCGATGCCGCCGCTGCTACCACATTACCACCTCTATCACAACAACCATTATCACTGTCGCCACCCCCACTCATCACTATTATACCCACCGCCCCACCTCTACTACTATCACCACCACCACCACTGTTATCGCCACCTTACTACTACCCCCATTGTCCCACCCCCACCCCCACCCCCACCCCCACTCGTCCCTACCACCACCATTATCATTGTCTCCACGGTTGTCACCATCACAATCGATCGTTGTCACCTATTACAACCATCACCATCTTCTACCACCACCACTACTACTGCTCGCCTCAATTACAAACGAATGTTTCAATTATTTTCTCTTTCCTCTATCTTTGTAATTTGATTTTAAGTATGAATACAAATATGTTTATTGTTGATCATTTTTTTACTTACTCGTGCCTTCAAGTTCGAGAAATAACTAGTATATCAAATAATATATGTTCAATCCAAAATATTTATTAACAAAAAAATAATAATACAACTCTGCCTTGTTTTTTTCTCCCAAACATTCTCTCTCTTTGTATTCCATTGTTGAAACCCAAAAGAACAAAACCCTCCCCATGCCCCCTCTACCCATCACCAATGCCACAAGCATGCCTTCACCACCAAAAACCATCTAAACCAAACACCCATCAACCACCAATCTTAGTGTTAATAGTCAATTCCTACTCCTCCTCTCTTTCTCTCCACATAGATTCTCCATCCACATAGATTTGGTCTTTCGATGACATCGAGGAAGGAGAACCAAGAGAAGCAAAAGAGGACTAGGGAGATAAGTGAGAATAGAGAGAAAATGAGAAGTTAGATAAGAGGGGGAGAGAGAGAGAGCCAAGAGACGCACAGAGGGAGAACCATATAGATCTTTGGAAGTGCCCAACTCTGAAAGATTTTTGAGTGAACTATTCTTGGTTTCGTTGGAGACCACCATGAATCTTTAATTTTCGGCGAGTCTGGTGGTACGTGGTGTTTTTTGTGATGGCAATTAGTGCCAAAAACCAAAATTGACTCAATGTTTAAACTTTGGGGACGAAATTAATGAAATTAAAATTTTAAAGACCAAAGTGCGATAAGCGATAAACTTCAGGGACCATTGATACAATTTACCCTTTAAGAAAAGAAACCTACAAAGATATGGTTGCGTACTGATTTTGATCACATCAATAGACATTGATTTGGATAATTTTAGCTGTTGATAAAAAATTAATAAAAATAATTAAAAAACAAAGTAAAACAAAATTTACACGTCATTTTTTATTGAATAAAAAAAATAACGAACCCTAAAAGTAGTGTGATAAGTACAAATCAAACGTCACATCTATTAATGGAACAATTATATGAAAATGCAAATGTTTTCACATCATTTTTCATGCAAACTATTTGTATTTTGTTTGATTGCGAATATCATTATTTTTGTTGTTGTTTGTTTGTCTCTTTGTATAAATGTTATACTGTTAAACTAGCCACGGAGCTCTTAACCGAGTGACATGTTAAGCTTATCATATACGAATTGCATAAAAATTTACAAAAGTAAACTCTTAGCCTTTCATTTTATTCTTGATTTATTTGTGCTTAATAGTTTATTACAACATTATTATAAAGGGGTAGTTTTGACTATAAAACTTGATAACTAGTGGGTTTGCGAATCCATAACATGATATTTGGTAACGGGCACATGGATTTCACATGCATATGTTGGCAAACATTAGGGACTATTCATGTAATTTATCAGACATATGAATAATAAACAGAAAATACTATATCTCACAATTTTCGAATGCTAACCTATATATGTACCATAAAAGGAGAAGGAGAATGACATATTCATTTCGTGCAAGTGTTTTGCCATATATAGATATTGTCTGATTACACGTTTTGTACTTTTCTGTTCTCGAGTTTGTTCCATTCCATCGGGCTTAATCGCGTAAGTAATAGAATACATATGCACATACATATACTTTCTATTTGTATACCAAGATTCACATGGATCATTTTTAGGATAGTAACATAATATACTTTTTATTTGTCAATAAAATTATTTTTTCCTCAAACAAAAGTACTTAAAAAAAACATTACCAAAAAATATATTAGTTGCCACTAAAGATAGTTTCTTTATATATATATATAGTTTTACATAGAATAATTCTAAATAAATAACATGGGAGCAATGAGAGGCCTTGAGATCTTAAAACTAAATATAATGAGATATTGGCCAGTGTTATCATAATCAGACCACTTATCAAACCAGCAGAAAGATCGGGTCAATGGTTAATTGGTGCAACCGTTAGATAAACTGATCGAGCCGGTTATATAATGAAAAAATTATATATATTATAAAATATATTATAAATTGCATCTATAGTCCTTAAGATTTATCACTCATTATATTTTGATCCATGAGATATATTTTTGGTATTGTATAATAATTCATGAAACCAAATATAAGTCCAATTAAAAAAAAACAAAAACCAAACACAAGTCTTGTCCCTGACCACAAAAAATAAGTTTTGTCCTTTTTTTATCCTTTTCCTTCTCTTTCTAATTCAACTCGTCAAAACCAACGCATCTCTCTCTTTCTGACCAACACACATTCATGATTCAAGCTCCATGGGCACACACAGCACAATTGACGCGGGGGTTGATTAACCCTAACTAACACAGTTGATGCATGACTTGATTTTTCGGGACCTCTATGGGCAATCAAGCTCGAGTTCTCCCTCTTTCACTCTCTGATGAATAGTTGAAAAAGTTCCAATGAAGCTGCATGGACGATCAATCACAACTAACGAAAGCTCCAATCAAGCTCCTGATGAAGGATTAGCTTTGAATTGGGTATTGGGTTTTAACTTCTAAATCTCTAATTTTCTCTCTCCCCTCTCTCTTTCTCTCTCTCTCTAATTTCTGATCTCTATCTCTATCTCAATTCTCTGTAATTGGTGTGGGTAATGGAGAATTTGTGCTTGTATCATTGTGGTGGAGAAGGCAGGTAATAGAGGAAAGGGGAAGGAAAACGACTGTGAAATTCCAACCATCCAGTTTGCACAGCAATCCAGTTCATGGGTTTGATCAAAAACTGACTGGTTTAGCGGTTTTTATGCGGTTTGATGCCTTATACAGTCTAACTACAAAATTGGACCGTTCTAAGTCTCGAGTCCTGGTTGAATCGATCCAGTCCAGTTTTGATAATACTAATCTTGACAACTTATTGGAGTCAGACAATTAGGGATTTATCCCTCGTAAATATCCTAATTCTAATATGAATGGTTTGTCTATGGCCGGAGTAGGAGTGGGATTAATTAAAATATGAGTCAATTAACTCGAATACTCTGACCGTTAAACTCAAAAATACTAGTAATAATAATAAAACTGTGGCCACTACTAAATTCAAGTCTTTTTCTGTCTGGGGATTGAAGTAGAGAGAGAGTTGAGGAAAGATTTTTTTTTTTTGGGTAAGTATGTTGAGAAAAGTTATTTAGAGAGTATTTATGGGAAATGCTCAAGCTACAAGAGTTCATTGGGCAGCTTAGCTCTTGTATTATATTCCCACTTGGAACCAGTTTGCAAGATGCTGA